GGTGGTGCGTTTTGCGAGCGCAGCGAGCAACCAGGCTGGGGGCCAGGGGCTGCTTAGGGCCCCCGGTCGGGGTCCAGGGGCCCGGAGGCCCCGGAAAAATTTGCTTTCTAGTACGTCCTAATTTGAAGGCATTTTATATCATGTTAATCTCTATATGTCCGTGAACACAGCGATAGGGCCTATCAACAAATTATCAGTGGAGGACATTCAATTCAATTCAAATTCAAATTTAATTTCAGGAAAAATATAACAAAAACATGATGCTGCCTTCCAAGGATTGCTGCCTTCCAAGGATTTCCAAAAAAAAAAGACATGGAGAAACAAGCAAATTGTTTCCCAAATGAAAAATACTACTGTATAAATTCGTAACCATTACGAATAAAAATTTAAAATCAATTCTGCGTTTAAATGAATAATAGCAAAGTTTCATATAAAGAGTGGATTAAAAGCGACTGTAAATGAGCTGATTCAAACAACTAGAAGCATTTGAAACAAATTAATCAACAATTTTATTCTTGGCATCGATAGAAAACATATACAGAGGTATAAGCATAATTATACTGTATGTATACGCTATCTATCCATTGAACCCGTGACGGGTATACTGTATAAAAGGATCATCATGATACGACTTCATTGCTACACTGACATACCGGCTGGTAGTTAGGGCATAGAGAAAATAGAACAGGAGAAATAGAACTGTTCTATTTCCTCCATGGTTAGGGGAAGATACACCTAGACGACAACGTGCATATAACGTGTGTATGTTTGTTGTGTTATGTTGCTGGCAGTACAAAGATTGCGCGTGTGGAGTCAGCGCTCTAGTATTTTATTGTAACTCATTTGTACATTCATACAATCTTAATACTGTACTGTTATGTGATTCATTTTATAATGATTCTGGGAACAAGGTCACATTTTTTTTGGTTATAATTAGTGGACGTTTTTCGATTTGGCGGGGGGAATTAGTGGGCGTTTTTCGATTGGGGGGGGGGGGGTGCGTACGCACCTATCGCACCCCCCAGGATACGGGCCTGGAGATAATACACTTTCCACTGAAACGAACCTCCCACAAATTAAGTCGCGCTACTGGCCTGTAAAGCGCATGCGTAGTGCCTCTATGCGCTTTACATAAAATTATAAAACAGAAAACATGCAAGAATTAAGAATTGACAGGGTCCTCTTGTACTATAAAATCTAGGCTACAGGCTAATGGTGGTATGGTAGGGGGAATAGTTGTCTCGGAATGCCATTTAGTTCAAACCAACTACAGTAGTAATTGAGTGAATGAGTGGAAGATTTTTCGTAACGCCTGTCATTACTGCGACCGCATACATTTCACACTGGATCAGGATGGATATTATGTAACGGGAAATTAAATATCCACAGTAGTTAAGAAATATTCTTTTAAAGAATACGAAAAGTCTGTTACAAAATAATGACACTCCATGCAGGAGGTGGTTCATGTTGGGAATCCTTCGGCTCTGTTCAGGAGATGAAGATGTTTATCCTTAGTTTCGACAGCAAGCAAACACCTTGTTCGCACTAATAATGGCATGATGTAATATTTTCACAGAAAGCGATTTAATTAACAAAATCGTTGAGATTTTACCTGACCTACGTCAGCTTGGCATAAGAGTCTGGTTGAGAGACAACTTTACACAAGACCTTCCAGATGGCATTGAACCAATTGAACACCAGCTCCAGTCTACATATGGATCACCATCTCCTAAAAGCTACAGGAGTGAAATCACTTTTGAGGATCAAGCTTATTATATATTCACATCGGGAACGACAGGTAAGTGGGATCAATCAATCAAAATCAACAAAATCCATTAATTTGTAAAATCTCTTAAAACAGCAGGATTAGAACCCATCTCTTTTTTAAACGTTATTACCAGTAGTAGATACCGGTGTACCATAGTGAAAGTGCATATCGGTGCCTGTGACGAAAATAGCTTATTTTAAATCGGTTAGGCCTACATTACGTTTGATAACTTCAAATAATTTCTACGCCAAATGTGTAAATCAGGTTTGCCGAAGGCTTGTAAGAGAACGCACAGAGCAGCCGTTGCAGCATCATTCGCCTTGGAATCCGTTGGACTTGGGCCAGATGACGTATTGTACTCGCCTCTACCGCTATATCATAGTGCTGCCTTCAATCTTGGGTTCCTTAACTGTATCAGAGTCGGTAATGTCGCTTTGTTGTCTTGCATATTGCATTTAAATATTATTATCATAGTTGTGGACATCGTCGTTATCATCATCATGATCACCTTCCGTATTATTATCATTATTATTTATTTATTTATTATTATTATTATTATTATTGAATAAATACTGATTACATTATTGTTATTTCTATTAAAATTCATTATCAAATGAGCTGTAGGAAATTATTAGGTTTGTCAAGTTAATGTATGCAACCATATCAAAGCAATTTGTTGATACTTATTTACCAAGTAGACCTAGTTTCATAATATATAAACTTCCGATTATCGACGGTGAACAATGAATATTTTACATGACCAAGGATGTACTTTTGCGATTGGTCGTAAGTTTTCTGTGACTCGGTTTTGGGAAGATGTTCGCAAACACCACGCCACCATTATTCAATACATCGGAGAAATTTGTCGCTACCTAATGGCCCAACCAAAGGTTAGTAAAATTATACCCCCGTAATTGAGCTATCATGCATGTAGTCTATTAAAATCCACCCGTGATCCTTATAATCATAAAGAAATACAGCAATGCTTTAATTTCAGAAATACCTATAAATTTAAATGAAATTTTACAAGAAAACTCAGAAAGTTTAAAACGCTTTCCTAACATCCCCATGTCCGCCGGACATACATACATCGACGGAGGCTGGGTTTATATACATATATATATATATATATATATATACTGTATTTATATATACTGTATATATATATATACATATATATATGTATGTATGTATTTCTTGATTTTATCTGTTAGTCATGCCTATTGTTTATATCCTTTTAGAAACCCGATGATGGCGTGTATCCAGTGAAGCTTCGAGTGGCATGTGGCAATGGCCTTAGGCCTGATATATGGGAGCATTTTAAGACTCGCTTCAACATTGATCACATCTACGAATTTTGGGGTGCCACTGAATGCTACAAAATGTTTATAAATTTAGACGGGAAAGTCGGTACTGTTGGGCGGCTTTCGCCCCTATTAAAGGTAATTCACCAGCAACTTAACCCATATTGTAGGTCAAAAATGATCACCATCATTAAATACCGTATGTTTAAAATAAATCAATAAAACAAAATAAATCATTATACTTTACTACTAGTATTTACTACGACCTATTCTCTTAATAGACCAAGAATTAATTTATTCTTATCATATCGTAATCAGTGTTCATATCAAAATCTGTAACAATAAAATTGTATATAGTAATTGACAACAATTTTTAATTAACTTAATTGTTTTAAAGTTACTCGACGGAAGTGTCCGCGTGATCAAGTGTGACGTCAATCTTGCCGAACCAATCAGAGGGAAGGATGGAAAGTGCATTGAGGTCGCTCCAGGTTTGTCCAATATTCGTTTTCTAAAGACACGAAGACTATCAGTAGGCCAAACAATGAATTCCCAAAATTAACTAAATGAATGGATCCGGGACCACTCATTGAACAAGCTACATATTCTCCCTGAATGTGGCGTCTTGTGTTTTTTTCTTAAGATAAATGGATGAATACATTTACGAATGAATGGAACGAATGAATGGGATGGATGGAAAATGAATGGATAGATGGATAGAAAAAAGATGGAAGAATGATGAATGACAGCATAACGAAATAATAAATGGATGAAAGAATGTATGAATGAATTAATACATAAATTTATTAATATATAATATATATGGTATAAAAAATAATGTAGGCCTTTTTTTTTGACGACTCGGGCCATAATTTAGAACATGTAGTCTTTTATAAAGTAAACATTCGACATAAATAACCTAAGCAAGTAATGTTAAATATCTTTAAAACAATTAATGTTCCACCAGGTGAAACAGGACTGCTTGTAATTGCAGTAGTGAACGATACTAGCCCATTTCTAGGGTACATTGGGAAAAAAGAGACAGAAAAGAAGATCCTAAGGAACGTGTTTAAGGACGGGGATAGTTATTTTAACTCTGGCGACCTCATCAAAATCAGTCCAGATGGATACATATACTTCGTCGATAGGCTAGGAGATACATTCAGGTAATAATAGTTCATAATGTACGTTCTTCGGCCAGCTTGATACATTAACAGTTACTCCTTTACAGTAAAATATAATCCCAATATAATATGACCAAAAATTTACCTTGGGTGGATCCAGGCATTGCTGCTGGAGGGGTCGAATGATAACGTATTAGGCCTAAATGAAGTAAGAAGCATCAAGTGGAAAGAATTTGAGATGCTGTCCAACAATTTAAAAAAAATCAAATTTCATGATCTCTTTACCGCCTTCAATGGAGCGAAAGAGTTAAGTTTGATTCTAGAGATGATGCAGATAGAAAATCGAATAAACGTAGATGCTATTGCTTCCTTTAGCCAGACGTAGGTCTCTGGCAAAGTAACTTTCTGGCCCAACTCTAAAAAAAAATTCTATACAGTAGGCCTAATCACTCTTTCTAGAGTGAAAATGTACCGTACTCTTAGGCCTAATTAAGTGAACATTATTCTTAAAATAGTGAAAAATCTGTAAAATTAAATTTGAATTGTGTGAAATCCCACTCTATTTCATTCTATCTTGAGTGATCACTGCAGACACTCTTTCACTCTTTTAAATTCTTTTGCATTTAGAGAGAGAATGTCTATTTTTATATTTAATTTATATTTTTATAGATGGAAAGGTGAAAACGTTGCTACTACGGAAGTTGCCCAGATTCTAGACGAGTTTCCTGGTATTATGGAGGCAAATGTCTATGGAGTGACGATTCCAGGTTTGTATCTCTCTAAATTGCAAGTGGTATCTCAGTCACACAACCACAACCTCCGACTTGCGTATACCTTGCAGTGTGAGCGTCAGATAGGATAGGAGTAGTTTGGTGTGGAAACTCATAGGCCTAGCCAACTAAGTCCGAAGACTTGTTTCTGTTTGGTTCTTCTGGTGGTGAATTGAGCAATCCCCTCTTTTCCGAAGAGTTTACTGCGTTCTTTAACGTGCATGAGCCATGATGGGAAGAGCATCCTAGTGGAAATTGAACCAGAGACCTATGGGGCTCCAGAATTTTCCTGAGGCTCCAGACTTTCGTTGGCGACATTGTTGCTTTTGGCGCCCCAAGGCACATGTCTGAATAAATAAGTGATATGAATTGAAATCCACAGGGTCCAGCACTCACAGTGGCTACCAGAACTAATCAGATCTCTAAATTGAAAATTGGTCCAAACTGAGATTAGAAGTAACAAAATTGATATCAATACTGGCGTCGTGTAGTGGCAGTGAGGACGCACATCTCACAAAAAGGGTGCACTTTGCGTTCCTTCCCCTCCACCCCCACCCACTATCTCAGCAAAAACATATATTCATGGTGTTAAAATCACTACATATCACCTCATATTAATTCCACAACCTGCTCCCCCTCTTTCCGATAGCTCTACATTTCCCCTTCTCCGATGAGATACGCCACTGGTTGGGTGTTTATCAGATGGTAGTCCTATCATTAACTACTACAGTGGTTTTGATGTATGGCCAAATTAATTTTAATGTTTTTTGCGTAAATTTAAACCATGAATAGAAAAAAAGATAATTTTGCATTTTGCAAAATTAAATCAGCTTACATCACATTTTCGTTACCTAGTTGTAATGGAATACATTCACTTTCTAGTAATTTGAAGTATCTGCTTTTGTTAACCTGAAAATTGGGTAGTCCTATGCTTTAGCTTAGAAATCCTTAAAAAAGTAATAGGCTATTGTACTTTATTTCGCAGGTCAAGATGGCAAAGCTGGAATGGCAGCCATAACCCTCTCAGCCGGCGTTGAATCACTAGATTTCAAGAAACTTTATTCTTATCTTAGTGATAAACTACCATCATATGCACGGCCAAAATTCATACGAATTACCAGCAATATGGACTTGACTGGCACCTTCAAACACAAGAAGTCGGAATTTGCGAAACAGGGATTTGATCCAATCCAAATTACCGATCCCTTGTATTATATAAATAACGAGTCGACAACGTATGATATCCTGAATGCGGATTCGTTTCCATTTGTGAAACTCTGCAGTAAACTCTAGAAATTCAGAAATAAGCTAGGCCTAATTATTAAGACGTAGGCTAGTCCCGGTGCGGCCTTAAAGGACCCCGGGATATTTATCAGCATTTTTAACCCATACATTGCCGAGTTGGGTCTTTTTGGGAAAAAAAAAAAAAAAAAGGACAAAAAATGTAAGTGGGATACTAATATGAAATTAAACAAAACTGCCTCCAGCCAGGCCAAGAATTTAAATAAACCTGGCGATATAGTACAGTCTACCGTTAAATATTATTTATAGTGATTTCATTGATAATAGTAATATAGGTCATTCATATACATGTATATGTTGTTGGAATGATTGGATATTCCAAATGTTAATTTTGGATTTTTTAAATTATTAATTCAGTTAAAACCGCTTGACACAAGTCGGTGTTTACGCGTTATGAGTTTCTGTTAATGTGCCTTGCTGTATAATTTGTGACTTGGAGGTCACATTTTCAATATATAAACCAACTGAAGAAGAGCAACAAAATTAACGGAATAAAGAAAATTAATGACAAAGGAATTTCAACCATTTTATGAAATGAAAAGAAATTAAACAATTAAATACTGTAATAAATTAAATAGACGTATATACGGTGGCCCATAAGTTCACGGCAATATTAATCTGCTCATCAAAACAGTTTAAAAACGGCAATATCAATTTGCTCACGGCAATATCAATTTGCTCACGGTAATATCAATTTGGTTCACGGCAATTTAAACTTTTAAAATCGGTCATGGCAATATTAATTTGGTCACGGCAATATTAATTTGCTCACGGCAAAATCTATTTAGTTCACAGCAATATAAACTTTTAAAAACGGTCACGGCAAAATCAATTTGCTCCCGGCAAAATCAATTTGGTTCACGGCAATATAAACTTTTTAGAACAGTGGCAAACAATCGTGACCCCTTTAGGTTGTTACTAGGTAGGCCTACAACACGTACGTGCACTGTATTTTGCATTGACGCACAATTTCAAATGAACAATCACTTATATCTTTACTATAATATCTCTATGATTAAAATAAAAAAATATAGTTTACTTTAGTTTTAAATATACCGGTATTATAGTAGTTAACAGTAGTTCCATAAACTCAACATAATCATATTATGAATATAAATACAGGTCTCCCTCCAATTATAGACCCTTCTAATTAAAAATCACCTCCAATTAAAGACCACTTTTTCTGTGGTTCCTTTTAAATTCTTATCTTTTAACATTAGCTGTTCCCTCCAATTAAAGACTCCCTCTAATTAGAGACCAAAGACCATGGTTTTGGTGGACCCAAATGAAAATTTTCCCTCCAATTAAAGACCGCTATAAAATAAATAGTGATGGTAATGCTATTTTTTCAATAGTAAATTTTGTTAGAGGGCTTAAAACATAAAAATATTAGCCAATGCACTTCATAAGATGATGTTTTAGGCCTATGTGTTTATTGAGTAACGATAATGCTAGTAATGATGTTAGAAATATTTTAATGAAAAGTTGCTTAGAACAAATAGGCCTACAGGAATTGATGTCCTGATTTTAAATAATCCTTTATTCAGAATAAATAACAAAATGAAGTTAACTGTACATCTATTCTAAACCATTTGTTTTTTTTTTTTTTTTTTTTTTTTTTTTTTAATTTATAAAAATCGAGATAGAAACGATTCTCTTATCATTAGTTGATTATCGGATTAACAAGATAAGAACCGCGAGCTAAATAAGATGTGAAAATGACCCAGAATGCATTTTAATATGACAGAAATATAACAGATTAGAAAGAAACAATGATGATTTCAAATTAAACCAACAACAAAATGTTCTAGCTTAAAAGAAAATGAATATTTTGTGTTGAAGAATAGACGTTTAAGATTTCTTTTTTCTAATTCCTCCTAATAATAGGCCTAAATTATGATATTGGGTCTGTCACTAGACTTGTGGTAGAACACCGATATTTCTGATTATTAACTAGGCCTAATAAGAAAATGTCCAATGGTAAAATCAAGGTCTAAATTATTAGTATTTTACAAAATCTGATAAAACTGAATTCTCAATTCTGTCGTTTTCAACAATTCTTTTTTCTCTTTCGTTGGAGTTTAACCCACTTTTATTTCTTTCCCTTTTTGTTACTTTTTTTTCTGCTTCTAATACATATTTAAAAGAAAATGGATATACAAAATAAAAACAATTGCACTTAGGAGGGGTCAGTCCACAATGGCTGACTATCTTTCTTTTTTTTTATAACATCCTTCCACTTGTAATACTTTCTAAATATTTTTTACCAAGATGTAATTAACATTATTAACATCGTACATTGTTTTCAACAATTCTACCATAGGCCCTAGAAGTTGACCGTAGGTCAAATTAGGCCACTATTTATTTTGCAGCTACTAACTACCCCACGAAGAATGGTTCATTTGTACGAAGAACAGTTCTTTGGACGGAAAAAAGAATGGTTCTCTTTCGTGGACTCTGTTTCTTACTGCAACAAAGAACTTTATTCTCGTCAGTAGAAACAGGCCCTTAGACACCTATGGATATTTTTGGTAGAGAACTTAACATTTTCCCCTTTAAATAAGAAATACTTTTAAAGTATAAAGTGATATTTAGTGAAGATGTGTATACATGCTCCATATTGAATACCGATTGTGTCATAGGACATTCAAACTTGAATGTATCATGGTTTTTGCAGACTCATCTAAACTGACAAATTTCCCTTAGAATAAAGAATACATTACAACGTTATGGTGATTTTAATTCAGTTTTTTTAATGATATGAATAAACACACAAAAATAATACACAACATAAGATAATGTTTTGTGTATACAGTGCTCTATTGAATAGTCCTGATAGTTTTAGTAGGACGATGTTGTTAGTAGGCCTATAGTAATATTGCAATAGAGATTTAGGTATCAGAACGAACAAAATGGTTTTGGAATAAAGGCATCCTAAATTTAGTATATCATTTCTTAATTTCCCTCTAAGTGATATTTAAGTGCACTTTTAGTGCCGGTCTTTAATTAGAGGGATTCTAATTAGAGACGAAAGCTGCTAAAGACCACCAAAACCCGGTTCCAAAAGTGGTCTCTTATTGGAGGGAGACCTATATTGGAATTCCACAAGGCTCGATACTGTCATCTGACACCCTTCTCTCTACAATATAGTCTTGATTCTAATTTAAATAAAATTGCAAATTGGTTCAATGAAAATAAACTCACTTTCAATATTAAAAAGACAAAATTAATGGTAGGCCTATTTGGGATCCTAACAAGATTCTTTCTAAATTAAAAAAACATTTTTATTTCTTACAATGGTGATACAATAGAAAGAGTTAATTCTTAATACCCTGGCGTCACTTTTCATCCACAATTAACTTAGAATCATATCTATCCTTCCGCCATTGGTAATGAATCCGTGTTGTACTGTAGCGTTGTTGTATTTATTGCCTTAAATCTCCTTTAGGTGTATTTCATCATTTTCATCTTCTATACTCATTAAGTAATATGTTGTCAACCTTTACTGAATGTTATTATTTGATTTAATTATGGCACACAAAAAGGATTTTAATCACACGGTTAACCTATTTCACAATCCAGCCCCCTCAGCTTCGGAATAGCTTTTCGTTGTAATCAGGGAGAATAACTCCCTGTTGTAATTTCTCAATCTATCTTCAGAAATCAGACACCCAAACATTGTTAAAATTCCAATGATGAACGAATTAGTGACTTATACCGTAACAAAAAGCTATCTGAATTCAAATGTTTAAATGAACAATGAAAATTCCCAAATTCAACGTATTACTGTATCTCAATACGCCAAGATCTTTCATCTCACTTAGCTTCTAGAAATCACGTGTTCCCCTTCACCATGTTATATTTTTTATACTTAAAATTCTGGTTTTTATATCCAAAATTTTTTAAATTTTATTTTATTCATTGTTTATTACAATTTACACCCGTATATATGTTTTTCGTCAATGTACCACTTTGAAAATCAGTACTATAGTACTACGAATAGTACTATACGGTATTAAAGGAAGTTTAAAATAAATAAATAAATAAATAACTCTACGTTCTAGCGTCACAAACACCCCTATGCATATAATAGATTGTTCCTCTGAAAAGCGGGCCAGTTAAAAATTAGTACAGTACTGAACTCACCTGTTCACGTTACTATGGAACGCCAAAAGGACAAATTACAAGTGGCGCAGTGCAAAAGTCAGTTGCAGTGCAAAAGTCAAGTGGCGCGGTACAAAACTAAAGACGAAAGTGGCGCAGTGCAAATCCAAATGCGTGTGCTGCTACTTGAATTTTGCACTGCGCCACTTTAGTTTTGCACTGCGCCACTTTAGTTTTGCACTGTGCCACTTGACTTTTGCACTGCGATTGTACAGTAGTTTGTCATTTTGGCGTGATATCGCGAAAAGGACAAACAACAATCGCAGTGCAAAACGAAAGTGGCGCAGTGCAAATCCAAATGCGTGTGCTGCTACTTGAATTTCGCACTGTGCCACTTGACTTCTGTACTGCGCCACTTGACTTCTGCACTGCGTCACTTGACTTTTGCACTGCGCCACTTGACTTTAGGCGATATTGTATGGAACGCCAATTTTGGCATCAAAATTAAACTAAATAAAATAAATGAATAAAAAAATCAAGAACACATAATTCAATTTTTCTTAATAATTTCACAGCAAAACAACAAAAGCACACAAATTTGGGACTAAAACACAAATAGGAATGTTATGATCATAGGCGTACTTGTCGTAGATACCGTAGCCTAGGCTTATCTATTCTATTCATCGTTACTACCGCTAATAAAGGCCTATAGCACAGTTGTCAGCCATGGCTACTAGAGACAGATTAGAAGCTGTAATAATACAATGTGAAAATGCATGTTATTGAATCGATCTTCCTAACTAGCTACCCCGTCGGTTGCGTTGACCCTAGCATAGCCTAACTATAAGCAGTCTACCCCGACTAGCCAGTAGCAATGATGTAGAAACAAAACGCAACAGATTTTTTTTTTTCAAACTTACCGCTGATATCACTCGAAAG